TCTCCCCATAGGACTTATGCTCCAGTCCCTTCACCAGCCTTGTTGCTCTTCTCTGGACCCGCTCCAGCACCTCAATATCCTTTCTGAACTGAGGGGCCCAGAACTGAACACAATACTCAAGGTGTGGCCTCACCAACGCAGAGTACAGGGGAAGGATCACTTCCCTGCTCCTGCTGGCCACGCTATTTTTGATACAGGACAAGATCCCATTGGCCTTCTTGGCCACCTGGGCACACTGTTGGCTCATGTTGAGCTTCCTGTCAATTAGTACCCCCAGGTCCCTTTCTGCCTGGCTGCTTTCCAGCCACTCTGTGCCCAGCCTGTAGCGCTGCAGGGGGTTGTTGTGGCCAAAGTGCAGGACCCGGCACTTGGCTTTATTGAACTTCATCCCATTGGAATCAGCCCATCTCTCAAGTCTATCCAGATCCCTCTGCAGAGCCCTCCTGCCTTCCAGCAGGTCGACACTCCCTCCCAATTTGGTGTCATCAGCAAATTTGCAAATATTTGGAAGAGATGAGCTATCACCCTAGAAGTTTCAGAGAGACCCAGATGTGCTGGGGCCCAGCCCAGGCTGACCGAGCCCTGTTCACCAGTGCTCAGTTCTGGTGGTGGGGAGGGGGAAGGTCTCCAGGTCTGACAACAGAGCAGCAACCTCGCAGATGCTCCAGCCCTGGTGATAGGCCAAGATGTGCTGGTGTCAGTTGCCCATGTACAGAAAAATAAATGCGTGTGAAAGTCACCTTGTAAAACAGCTTTAGTAAAGGAGGACAAGGTGTGCAAAGAGGGTGAAGCACCAGGAACATTGTGGCAGCCATTACCAGGGCTATCACAGGAACGGGAGGAAGAGACAAAAGAGGTAACTGTCCTATCCTTCAGTGAGCTGCAGGAGATATGAAATGATTTCAGCTGTTGTGTCAGTGCACGTATTGCCACCTGGCTGCTCCGATGCTGGAAAAATGGGGCTAGCAGTTTGGAATTAAAAGGTAAGAAAACCAAGCAGCTGGGAAACCTGTTGTCTTCTGATCCACAGTTAATTTAGTTTCCAGTGGGTTAAAACGTGACATCTTGTCACTCGGCACCACTGAAGAAAACCTGCTTCCCTCTTTTGCAGTCATCCACTGGTGAGACCACCTCTGGAGTGCTCCATCCGCCTCTGCAGTCTTCAGCACAGAGAGGACATTGACCTTTTGGAGCAAGTCCAGAGGAGGACCATGAAGATGATTAGAGGGATGGAACTCCTCTCTTGTTAGGAAAGACTAGAAGAATTGCGATTGTTCAGCCTAGAGAAGAAAAGGCTCTGTGATGACCTTTTTGTGGCCCTTCAGTACCTGGAAGGGGCTACAGGAAAGCTGGAGAGAGACTTTTTACAAGGGCGTGTAGTGATAGGAAAAGACGGAATGACTGAAAGGATGTAATTTTAGATTGGATGTTAGGAAGAAACTTATCTACTGAGGCTGGTGAGGCACTGGAACAGGGTGTCTAGAGAGGTTGTGGACTCCCCATCCCTTTAAGTTTCCAAGGCCAAGTTGGATAGGGCTCTGAGCAACTTGATCTAGTGGGTGGCATCCCTGCCCCTGGCAGGGAGGTTAAAACTAAGTGACCTTTAAGGTTCCTTCCAACCCAAGACATTCTATGGTTCTGTGATTCTGTGGTCTGATTAGGTGTTTATACACATAGATAAGAACCTTCTCTTCTCTAGGCTGAATCATCCCAGCTCTCTGAGCCTACCTTCATGAGGGAGATGCTCCAGTCCGTTTGTCATAGTCATGGTGCTTTTTGTTGCATGCTTGCTAGCTCCGTATCGTGCTTGTATTGGGAAGCCCAAAACTAGGCACAACACTCTGGGCATGCCCTCACCAGCGCTGAATAAAAGGGAAGGATCACCTTAATTTATCTGCTATCAGCCTCCCTCCTGGTGCAGCCCAGGACACAGTTAACCGCATCTGCTTCATGGGAATGTTGCTGGGTTGTGTTTGATTTGGTGTCCAAAACTCCCAAAGGCCTTTTCAGCAAAGCTGCTTTCCAGCCTTTAGCCCCCGTCATGTACCCCGTATGCCTGGGGTTGTTCCTCTCCAAGTGCGGGACTGCACTTCCCCTTTTTGAGCTTCACAAGGTTCCTGCCAGCCCATTTTCTCCAGCCTGTCAGGGTCCCTCTGGATGGCAGCATGACCCACTGGCCTATCAGCCAATCTTCTAGTGTAGTATTGTTTACAAGTACCACATTGAATTAAGCAGAAATAGTTGCTCTGATAAGGCTTAGACATGTCTGAGAGATGTTGTGAGTGTGGTGAGACAACAATTCAGTTATTGGTTAACTGAAAATAATTCCATCTGTTACTGTTTGCAGCATACTCCCTCTCCCCATTAAAGTTAGTGCATTTAGAATCCTTGGCTTGGTTTGGGAATGCTAGATTTGGTACTAGGCAGGTAAGTCCTTTCTGTTCATTAAAGCAAAGAATATTAGTGATGTAGAAGACAAATTCATAAGCGGATGCTCAAGTAATTTGCTTTATAAGAAAAACCAAACCAAGCAACAATAGAATAACTCTTCTATACCCCCCTCCTCCCCTCTCTTTCATTTCCCTTTCTCCCTCCTCTTCCCCTGCAAAGTGCCCCAGAACCTCACTGACACTACTGCAGAGTACAGAAAGAATTAAAGGAAGGATTTTTATGATGAAATAACTGCTGAGTGCTGACTGTCTTGTTTACAGTCAGTGGAATGGATTGAAAGATGTAAAATGGTGAATAACGGAGGACTGCTAATTTTTTTCACAGTGAAGAAATACCAAAGGGTTTGGTTGTTAGAGGGAGGTGTGTGTATGTGTATTTCAGTGATGTATATACTTATTTAATATATTTAAGGTGAAAGCCTAAAAGGTGATTTTGTAAAGGGAAGGCACATATCCTGCTTGATTACATTTCCAGTGTCACTTTACTGTGAGTGAACAAATAGTAAACACTCTCTATTGCACTTTGCAGCGAAGGAAAACATAGCTTCACCTTTGGTCATAAATCCAAGTTTCATTTTCCTGGGACTGGTCATATCAGAAAGATTATATGTGGAACTTCAATAGACGGGAATAAATAAAGGATGTATTGTATACAAGCCAGCTGTTTACTACTGAGGGAAGTTATCTCACACATGTCTAGGTATATTTGTCTATATGGACTTGGTAATTTAAATGCAAAAGTATCCTCAAATTAAAGTGGTACTGATTTTTGGAATGGGAAAGTGTCATGATTTAACCCCAGATTGCAAAGGAGTCACTTCCCACCCCACCTCCAGTGGGGAGAATTGGAAAAACAAAGTAAAACTTGTGGATTGAGATAAGAACAGTTTAATTAATGAAACAAAATAAAATATACTGCTATCAATTACAATGAAAAGGAGAGAGAGAGGGACAAGCGATGCTCACAGTTGCCCGCCATCCGCTGAGTGATGCCCAGCCCATTCCCAGGCAGCTCTTGGCCCGTCATGGCCAAATCCCTAGTTTATACACTGGGCATGGTGTTCTATGGCATGGAGTAACCCAGTTGGAATGTGGTGTCCCAACCATGCTCCTTCCCTGTGTCTTCTGTACCTGCTCACTCTCATGGCATGGGAAGCCTTGATTCAGAGTAAGCAGTGCTTAGCAACAACCGAAACATCATGTTATCATCTCTTTTCTCATACTGAATGCAAAACCATAGCGCTGTGCCAGCTGTCAGAAAGAAGATTAACTCTATCTCAGCCAAAAGCTGGACACACAGTTGCAGCAGTCTAGTTAATTTAAATTCAAACAGGGATGGAATATAGTGTAGGGAGGGGAATAGGATGTTGCTGAAGATGGGAATGTGGGTAAAGAAATGCAATTAATTGCTAAGAATGGAAAGTGATATGCTGGGTGAATTTGGGATGCAAAATGAGAGGAAAAATAAAGATCCAAAAAGCAGACTAAATTTTGAAATACTCATAGGACCATGAAGCGTGGAAAGACGTAAAGGCATCTTATCTTGCACATGCAGCTTTCTTGTGCAGTGATTCATACAGAGCTAGAAGAGACATGAAGCTAATGAAATCAGCGACTAATACACTGACGTACAAGCAAAGTGTATGGTTACAGCGTGTGGCATAAAAAAAGATAGTTGCATGCATTTTGCAGATGTAGGAAATGAGGGAATGTGCTCACAAAAGCGAAACCAGTAAAAAGCTAGTCACAGCTGAGTTATTTGTATTCTGGGATGAGCTTTTTTGTAAGATTAATGAAGAATTTGGTGAACAATAGATCACACATGGTGATATCTACCTGGCAATTGCAACACCTTCTGATGATAATGTATATCTGTCAGTTGCCTAAAGATCAGTCCTTTCATAAGTACTATATCTTGATATGAAATAGAAATATGACTTTTTTTAGTCATCCTCAGTGTAGAAATGGAAATAAGAGGAAATGCTGATTTTATGTGTATCACTTGCGAACTGTTTTCTGCTGCAGAGCTTTCAGAGAATGAGGAGTACTGTATAGTCTTGTTGTTAAAGTGCTAATGTGAGACCTAGGAAATAAAGTGCTTTTTCTCTATATTTGCAGTGTGAGTGGGAAAGTGCGTAGTTGCTGTTTACCATTTACTAAATGATAATAGTGATATTTTATCAAACATGTGGTTTTGTTACTCTAGATTGTGCCTGTGTAATGTAACTCTCTAGATAGGGAGCATCCAGATGGGTCTACACAGAAGATGCCAGGTTAACTTGAGAAAACATGCTGTATAAATAAAGGTATGGACTGAACTGTGTACATATCACTTACAACAGAGTTTGTGCTGGGTAAAAGCTGAGTATTCTTAAAAGAGTAAAGTGAAAAAATAAACATTTGTTTTGTGCCTTTTATACTAGCTTGGGCAGATGATTTTAGAAACTTTTTTTCATGTCTGAAACCAAGTATGTTGAATCTCAGAATTTGTTTTACAGATTATACTCTACAGTGTATGTAATTTTTTTCTTTTTTTTTCTTTGTTTAAAGCTGGATTGAAAGTGAATCAGAATGGCTGCTGTCATCTCAGATAGTCCTCCGAACCCAAGCTGCAAAATCATGACTTTTAGGCCTTCAATGGATGAATTCAGGGAATTCAACAAATACTTAGCGTACATGGAATCACAGGGTGCTCATAGGGCTGGAGTTGCAAAGGTAAACATCCGTAACATAGAAGGAAGATTGATCCTAATACCTATTCTCCTAGTATTTGTATTTTGCTGATTACAATTCGTGACCTTTTTAGTTTTTAACATTCTAAATGATTTTCAGTGAATAGGTGCTGATTTGTTACTGTTTTAAGAAAGAGCCTTTTGGTATCTCTGATGTTTTGTGCAGACTAATGATGATGATGTATACTGTTTTCTGACTGTTAATTGTTTACAAGTTTACAGTAGCAAAATAGGATCTCATTTTGTGTAGATTTAAACTAGTTTTTGTCAAATCAGAACTAAACAGGTAGTTGACAGTGTAAATTAAAGTAATCTTGAACAGGTGTTGAACTTGATCTTTTAGGGTTATGTAAAACTTTACTGGAGCAAATAATCCCAGTACAGTCAATAGTGACGTATGTGAGGCACTGTTTAAATGGAAATAGTTTTCTTTTTAAGGGTGATCATGTTATCTCTTTATTAATGAGCATTGCAGGGACACTATCTGCGACTGTATTGCCCATTGAAGGTGTGCACATCCAGGACCTTACAGCAGGTGTCCCTCCCCTCACAGAGAGTGATTGTCAGAGGTTAAGTCTGATGTAATTTAGTGATACATCACAAAAGTGTTTACACTGTATCTGTTTTGCTGCCTTTCAAACCAGCAGCACCCGGTGCAGGTCCAGAAGTACTAGCTTAATTATTGTAAGTGCTTAGCCATCTCCATCACTGGGTTTTTAAGCAAATGTTGCATAGTCAAGACATTTAGAATCTGAGAGAAGAGAAACAAGACTTGCAGTTCTTGGTTTTCCCCTGCCCACTCCCTCATCCTGCTTCCTGTAAAGCAAAGCAAAAATGAACTCCTAACATTTGGGAAACCTTGTATGTTATTTGATTTTTTTTTTTATTTCTGAGGATAGAGTACATACTGGTCATAGTCTCAAACTCTTCTCTGCAAACAGAAGTAGAAATTTGATAAACAGACAACAGTGGAAAGCCTGAGCTGAATTTTTCCTATGTTCAACTGTCTGTATTATGGAACCTATTTGTTTGTGTGGGGATGAACTATTGCACTCCTTTCATTGTGGATAGTAAATTTCAAATGCATTGTAGTGGCATCATCTTGCTTTCTTGAATAGCATCTCTTGCTGTTTTTAGTCTGACAGTTACTTGCTATGTATTACTACTTTGTCTTGAGAATTCTGAGTTCTGTTTTTCACTATATTCTGGTATATCTCAAAAGAATTCATAAATAAAAATAAACCAACTAAATATTTTTTAAAACAAGTCTTATCAAGTGAATAATTCATGCTGCAAAGGGATATTTTCTGGGTTTTGGAAATTAATTTTAAAATAACAAGAAAAAATACATTTTTTCTGTTTTGATAGTAATATAAAATTACCTTACAAAGAACCTAATTTTTCTGAAGTCTAGCATGTACAAGCTGAAGTGTTAATGTGAAGAGAATAACAACTACCAGAAGAACTGTATGCATATGCAGAAACAGTAATTTAACTTCTGAACAGAGAACACAATCAGAATAAGTGTATCCAACACTTTAGGTTAAATGTGAAGGTGTAAGGGGAGAAGACCTGTTACCTGTGTAGGAGAATATGTGTATGTAAATAGGGATAAAATTACTGTAAGGCTTGCACGTATTGGAGGAGGGACGGACTATGGGAAATAAAACATTAAAAAAACCACAACGACCCCATAAGTTCCTAATACTATGTCTGGAACAAGTGATTAAGGTACTAGATAAACAATATTGGCAAAAAAATCACCATTAGGCTTTTGAAAGTCTGGAATGAGCTTTAGGCATAAAAAAACCCCCTATTTTAGTCTTACTGTTACAGAGAGTCCAAGACTTGGAAAACAAGAACTGGAAAGAATGGAACAAATGAAAACCAAGGCACACTGATAGATTAGTTGGTCTTTACTGGAATAAGAATTGTTTTGAAGTCTCAAAGTGAATTTATGTAAAGCAAAATAGTTAAATTAATTTTCAGTCACATCGGCAAGTAGAAAAGTAATTTTGGAATATTATGCTGAAAATAGATATTGACAAGTGCAAGAAAACCAATTTTCAGAGGAATTGGGGAGAAGTAGTTACATAGGAATAGTAGCCAGTGCCATTCAGAGTCAGATGTACAACAGGAGATTACCAGTATATGAAAGAGGATTTAACAGAAATGTACGTGTTGAGAGCACTCTGCAGTAACCTCATTAGTACTAAAGTGCTGTCTTCATGGAGGAGACTGATATAACTAAGACATCCCTATCTAAATCTGAATGCATATCACACTACATGATACTAGACAGTATTAATATGCTTAAGATCTTTGATAAATGGATAAATAAATAAGTAAATGAGAAAGTCTTACCTTAGGTTTTTCCTTTTTCATATTTGAGCTTTCAAAAGCTTGATTGATGAATTTGATCTAAGTTGCTTCCATTGAATAAACCTAACTTGCCTGACTTTGAAGAGGTTATTTTTACTAAAGGGAATATGTAGAGGCTTCAGTGGAACAGGTCACAGAGATCTGGTCATTATTTCCAGCTCTTACACTGTGTAATGCCTGTCGCTTTGGACATGATAGTTTAACATTTTCAGTCCTCGTCCTAATCTTTGTTAGAAAATGCAAATTCTTTGGGCAGGAGCTCTATTTTTATTTTCTTTTAAAGTGGTACTTTGCTTATTGATCCCCAGAGAATTCACTTCTCTAACCAGTACACTAATTACAACAGCAATAAACACGCTCCAGTTAGCTGGAAGGAGATACTTTGAACCTGTATTCAGAAAAATATTTTTATTGCTTAAAACACACTGACCTTGAATTAAGTAAGATAATGCAAATATTGCTTTTCAGTATTCTTATAGTTGAACCAAACCTACAACTTTATGCTTAATAATCATGAAAATGGAAATCTCTGTGCACGTACTTGATTTCTATGCATATATTCTGGATGCATGACTTCTCAATGCATCAAACTAACTTCAGACTAACATTCTGTATTTTATTGATGTGCATATAATTTAAGATTTCTGTGAAAGAAGTAAGTAGGAATCACAAGATGATTCGCTTACTTTTTTTCTCTAAAAGCAATCAACTTGCTAAGCAGTCCCTGTACAACGGAAGTCCTATGGAAGCTGAGAAGGAAAAAAGGAAAAGAGGGAGTTGCATTTGTGTAAAGACTGGATAAAAATGTTTGAATTAAAAACTTTAGGTTTGGAAGTATGTTGCTTTCTTAAAACTTTTCTTCAGCTTGATGTTTGTGCTTGTTAGCACAAATGGTCTTGACTGGATTTCTTTGAGGAATAAACTGTTTGAGTACATTAGCATTACAATTTGCCTGTTTGTGACTTGTGAAAAGTTGATTTGAGCATGGCAGAAAAGAATGAATATAATGAGTGATTCAAAAAACATGGCATTGAGCCTTTGGACAAGTAAAAGTTCAAAACAAAAAACAGACCAAAAATATATATATAAAAATTTTCTGTTCCTGTGTTTTAGAGGTGATGCAGTTAACATCTAGAGAGTTATCTGTTTTCAGGTAAAATAATACATGCAAAGAATGTTCAAAATCACACAGCCTTGTTAAAAAACACTGGTGTTACTACAGTCTTCTTTGAAATTCTTAGTGACTTCATTGCTAACACTTTAGAATCTGCTGAGTAGTTCTCATAGACTGTGAGCAATTTTGTGGTACTTGAAATAAATATGTTAACTTTACAATTGGTAAATCTGCACATAGCTTTAATCTTCAATTATGAGGATTAAATCATGTAATTATAAAAGCTAATATATCTAAATTAGTGCAAACTCTTACTATAACAGAGTTGCATCCTGCAGTGTTATGGGGAGTGAGTTGCACAGACTCTCAGATCTTAAGGGCTCTAAAATAGCTGTACTTTTTTCACTGTTCAGTAAAAAATAAAGTTATATATACTGTTTATACCAAATAACATTTAGACAGGGGAGTGCCAGTTTTTTGTATGAGTATTTTAATTGGCGATAAAAATTTTATATCTTTGAATCGTTAAGTTTGAAAAAGATTCAAAGATCGTTGAGTCCAACCATTGACCTTACACCACCATGTTCACCACTAAGCCATATCCCCAAATGCAACATCCATGCATTTTTTAACACTAAATGTGTATCATACCATGGATTCTGAACTATTTTTCAATTGCAAGGCTTTCTAAAATATGTTTGCACAGTTGTCTTTGATTGAATTGCTGTAGATGAGCAAGTTGCTGCTTGTGAATTAAGGTAATACTATCCCTATTTTGAGTTGCTTTCTACATTATCTAGGAGCGCTTCAATTAGTTAGTGTGAAACAGCTGGTAAGCAGGTGTTCATTCGATCATGTGGTCATATTTGACTGGTTCTTTCAATTTTTTCCAGGATGTTTTGAACTGATACAGCAACTGTGATGTCCTGTGTTTTATTTTTGAATTTAAAGGTTATCCCACCAAAGGAGTGGAAACCAAGAAAACATTATAATGATATTGAAGATTTGGTGATTCCTGCTCCAATTCAACAGATAGTCACTGGCCAGTCGGGGCTTTTCACACAGTACAACATTCAGAAAAAGCCCATGACAGTGAAGGAGTTCAAGCAACTGGCCAACAGTGACAAGTATGTATGTCTTGCTTAGAAAGACAAATATTTATCTTCACATACTGTGATTTCTTTGAATTGTGCAAGGTGATTTTTTTTTTTACTTTTTTCCTGGCTCTTAGGGGTACAACAATGTGAATATTGTTTTTGTTTGTGTTATTGAAGGCATCTGATACCATGACAGCAAGAAAGCATCTAGAAGACCTGAGACATGATGCCTTCTGTCTGCCTTTTTTCTTTCTGTTCTAAAAGATGGTTATGTAGAAAATAGTGAAGATAATACAGACTAACATCTGAGTTTTAATTTGATTACACCTATTCATGTTTAATATTTAATTCCTAGGTACTGGAATGGCCTATCATCATGTAATTCTGAAAAAAACCCAGCATCTTTTTTAGCTTGTCCAGAAGTTTTGCATTAATCTAAGAGAACTTAGCTGCATCTAGTGAATGTTTATGTTTTGGTTATGGATATTAAGGGAGAGTTTATAGAGGGCTAGGCACTGTACTGAAAAGTTTCAAATTGGTGAGCATTCCAAGAAGAGGGAACGGATAGAAGGAATTCTTCCTTGTCCTTTTGACCACATGGAAAGAATACATTTTACTTAAGTATTTTCTCAAAACTGAGTGGAAATAGTTTCTGGGAGGTGAGTCAAAGCATCTTAGAGAGAAAAGACATTTGAATAGAGGAAGGAAACACTGCCTTAGTTTAAAGCAAGGTTTGTCTCATAAGTTAATTAAGGAATTAAGATGTAAGAAGAGAAGCTGCTGTCAAGATCAGGACAAACTAGGACATGAAAAGTTTTTAAGGAGACTCCTCAGCAATTGTGTCCCATGATATCCATGCCTTTACAATAGTGCAAAATGGATAATCTTTTTTCTTCAATTAAAATGGATTGGTATTTCCACCCTTGTATTACTTGTGAAAAATTGTGTTTATCACACTTACAGTACTCTTTCTCTGTTAAGTGGGAGTGGGAACCTATTTTGTAGTTTTTAAAATTGTTTAGTAACTGTTAGAGATGGGAATAGAACATAAGAATTCTGTGGTATCTGATGTCATTTTCAATTATACTTTTTCATGGATGTTAAAAAGTTTACATTTTGTTAACCTATAATAAAATGAGACACTAATTTGTTAAAATAGTTTCATAATGCAAAACTGTGAAGATTTTAGTATGTATCATGATGTTTATTATTCTTTAGTATGGACGCTATAGTGGAAGTGTTTCTGATTTCAATTTTCATGGTTTTTACTGAAATCAGATGGCAACTTAATTTCATAGACAAAATTAAGAACTGTTGGGACGGCTTCTTATTTATTACTAGTTGTAGGTTGTTCTAAATATTCATCACTGCTCTTGAGAAAATGTGTCATATAACCTCCTATGACACTCTAAGTCTGTATTTATTAAACTATTAGGTAGCTGAGAGCCTCTGTTCTCCCATAAAAATAATTTTGTTCCTTAATAGAGAAGACTTATCTGTTAATGACCCTTTTCTTGACTATTGTGATGTTATCTATTTCCTTTGAGTAAGAGAGAAGGGCCTCGAACATCTAAATTAAATCATAGTTGCCTTTAAAAAGATCATGTGTACTCAGTCTAATGGATTTCATCTCTTATTTGTTTAGACATGTGCAACTCACCATTGAACCAAAATACTTCTCTACTTGACCTCTGGGAAATAAGGGCATAGCTGCATCCTGTAATCAAGGAGTTCATGTATGCATATTTCTCAGTGCCAAGCAGAAATAAATAATCTGATTTCTGGAGCTATATCATGAAGAATAATAAACAACTCTCTTGCTGAGAATGCTGTGGTTAAGATGATTTTTGTTAAGTTTTTTTGTCTCTTAAGAGTTATTACATGATGTAAGTCTACCTGGTCTCCTTAAGTCTTGTATGTTTGGATTTTCTTTCCAGTTGTTCAAGTGTAGCATGTTGGCAGTTCTAATATGAAACTTCAGTTCTCAGTGTTGGAGTAATGGGGGAGCAAGTTTTCTTTTCTGAAGACCTGAATATGGGAGAACAGAGGTCTGACAAAGGATCCTGAGGCAAAGCTATTGATAGATGTTTCTATGGTGGAGTGCTTGTGTTGTGTTCCCACAAGATTTTTACATGAGTAACCTCCTAGAACTATATACATAATATGTTTAAGCATGTGTTTATTAGGTACCTTCAATTAAGCATATAAGTACGGTATCTTTTGCTGTTATAAAGGAGTAAAAAGTCTCTTAAATATTTTTTCTCTGCATTGTAGAATTTTTGGTATCAATTGTTTGAAATACTGCAACTTTTTTGAAAGGTTTTACTGGGGAAGAAAGAAGAGAAGAAAGTACTGGTCTTGCCTGGCAGGGCTGATGCATGGGCTGATTTAGTTAGTTTGAGCTGTTCTGAGGCAGGCTTATGCAAGACCTATATCTGTGTCTTTGCAGAACTGGTGGTGAGGTAGGAAAATAATAAATACTTGTTAACTGCATGACTTTTCCATGCGTGTTTTTTTACGGAAGGGAAATGAAAGGGAAGGGTTCAGCCTGAGGACAGTCAGTAGATGTCCTGATTAGCTGCTGGAGACTGAAGCAAATGTTGTTTAAGTAGGTGGATGACTTCACTTACTGGGGCTGTCAGGCAGAAGGTTCCATGATATGGTTAATTATGACACTAAGAAGTCAGGACAAGTAGTAATTCCTCTGTTTTGAAAAATTTGAAATAAAGTGATCTCTTAGAATTCAATTTTCAGGTTCAGAAGCATAGTCCATTGTGAAGGTGGTTGTTGAAAGACTGTGATGAACCTTTGCCTACCTCTTCCTTTGCAGATACCGCACCCCAAGATACACAGATTACGAAGATCTGGAGCGTAAATACTGGAGGAACTTGACTTTTGTGGCACCAATATATGGAGCAGATATCAATGGGAGCATTTATGATGAAGTATGCATAGCTTTTTATGAAGTTTGTGTCTTCCAGCCCTCTTTTAAAGGGTATTGTACTTAAAGGATACAGTCTTGTTTTGTGACGGTGAATCTGTCTTTTGAAATTTTTGTGTTACTCACTTTAAAGACTCTAAGAAAGGTTGAAATTAACTCTACACCTGCAAGAGTCAGACAGTTCTGTCTTTAGACGGTAGAATATTGCTACTCTTCCAGATCATGACTCCTCCCTTTCTTCATTTTGAACTCTCCAGAACTTTAAGATTACTTCCAACTTATTTATTTGTTTATTAACATTTTAGTATGTATTTTCTGTGTGCTTATGTGGAAATTTAGAGATATTTTAAATAGCTTTTACTTTAAAAGATGAGATACTTAATATTTCTTCCTCTTTCACTGAGGAATATGATTAAAACAATTGTACTTTATACATGTTTGGAATGCCTGCAGTTTCCTGGAAATGTGCTTACACTTACTGTTTACCTTTCAGTTAAAACAGACAGAATTGATATTTCCCAAGGAAATAAATGTTGCTGGTTACTTGCCAAGATCTCTATGGATAATAAAGGGACTCTTAGCACAAATCTCATTATCCAAAGAATTACACAATAGTCATTGATATCTGTTAGGCTGTGTAAGTAAAGATAGGAGCTAGATTTTGGAGGGATTATCTAAGTAATCAGACTAACAGAAGAAATGTTAGCATTTCAGAAAAAAATTGAGGATTTAAAAAATACAGGGCAAATATTAAAAGAATCTACCATGTGTGGAGTTCTTGATGTTCTATGTAACTGCCTTCTCCAATTGTTAAAAAAAAAAAATATGATTTCCCTGTGGCAGATGGTCTGAGGCTCTACTAGTATTTCACATTTCTTCACAGAAGACAGATTACTTGAGAACTGTCCAAAGATAAATATGGTCAGCCAATATGGCTGAAGGCAATTCAGTTTTTGTACTGAGTATGTGATCTTTGAAACATAGCTATAGATGTCCAGTGGTCTATTGTTTAGAGAAAGTAGCAAGTCCAAATTCTATTGTGTGTCCAAATAGCTATTTTAAAAATTAAGTTAGAGAATAATTGAAGATTCTAATTTGGAATGTTTTGGCAAAGAGACATTCTAGGTGGCTGTTGCTTTGTAAAGACTGAAATAAGGCACAGAAAAACAGTCTTTGTTTCAAGAAATAGAAGTTTGCCCCTTTTCTTCTCTGATTTTTTTTCTTATACTTATGGTATAACTTTTCACAAATATATGCTTTGTTTTGATTATGTTTGCTTTTGTCTTCAGTATCTTAAGTTTACTGTTGCATGAGCAACATTTCCGAAGAAATGAATGCAGTAACGTCCAGTTTGGAAATGCTGACTGGTCAAAGAGAAGGTCAGAGATTTCATTCTCATGGAGTTGCACTCATTAGATTGGGAAGCTGCGGAAGGGAGGTCAGAAAAAAAAGCAAATGGAGAAGTGAGAAGGGCAGCATTCAGAGATCCTAACTCAGATGCTATATGCATAGGAGAAGGAAACTAAGCACTGAAATAAGTTGCAGAGAGTGGGGAAGAAAGCAATAAAAAGTAGACGAAAAAAAAACCTTGATGCGTGTGATAAAATGGGTACTATTTAAATATATATAACAAAGGAGAAATGTTAGTGAGAGGAATTGACATTGAGGAATGTGAGCAGACTTGAGCAGTTAATGTCAGCCACTGTGATGGTATACAGCCCAGTGATGTATAAAGGAAAAGAAGGAAAAAACTCTGGTACCAAGCTGTTGGTGAGAAAGTTACAGTGATCAAAATGTTGTCTTAGAATAATTTTGCCACAGTTACTTCTTGGCCAGCAGATGGTGTACTTGCACAACTAATATTTTTCATGTTTTAATGCATGAAGATAGTGCTAAGAAAAGATCTTGAATTTGTTTGAAATTAGAGGTTGTTCTTATGTTTTGTTCAGTTTCCTTCAGGATTGTCATTATTTGTGGAAAGGAGATGAATACAAATTACTGACATTTTTGGCGCCATAGGGCAGAAAGGGAATGATAGGATTAATTTGTCATAGCAGCCTATTTGCGAGAAACAAAACAAATGCATACTTTCTACAAAATGCATTTTAAAGAAAAAAGATTGTTAGAGATGTTACATTTAAGGTAAGTATCTGACAGAGTTCTAGGTGGAAAACCACAAGGAACTTAGTGAAAATGTGGTTTATATGTCTACATGGGTCATCAAAATTAGTGAGAAATACTGCTGTGCTGTAAATCCGTATTCTTCAGTTTAACAGTTTACAAATTATGTTTTCTTTTCCATTGGTGGCAGTCAATTTTATATTGAGACATCTATATCTGAAGCATGATGAAACCTTAATTTTTACTATTAGTATTATTTAAGAAACATACTGTTGCTTGTGGAATCCAGCACTTTGCTTGCATTGTGCCAGAGAGATCATAGATCTTGTAGTATTTGATTTTTTTAAAGCCAGAGGATGACAGGTTCTGAGGGGGTTGGAAGATGGGGCAAAGTTATAAAGCCTGTGTTACATGGAACAGAAAAAGAACTCACAAAACAAATAAAATCCAAACAAAAGAGGAACAAAGCTATCAATGCATGCTTTGAAATTTGACAACTCCCATCAATGATTTAAAGTTTACCGTTGTTATATTTGAATTTTTCCAGAATCTTTGTTATTTATTTAAAATATCTTGACATCTTTGAATTCAGATTAAGTCTTTACAAATAAGGAAATAATCTATGAGAACAAGTGTTCTGTGCACTCTATAGAGCTTTATAGAAAATAAATTCCAGGTCAAGGTTTGCTTGAAATATTATTCTGTCCTGTATACATTCTAATTGCTGTTACATTTAATTGCAGTGCTTTGTAGGATGATGGCAATGTAGGTGACTCAGGAAAAAGCGTGACCCCTACATTGACTGATCTAGCTACTAGGCGGGGAAAATCTTCCTAGTTTCAGAGGTCCAAAGAAAAGTGACCGATTTGAAGTTTATAATGAATCAAGTCATAAAACACATCTGACTTCAGTGCTGACAATTGCATCTGCTATTCCTTAGAGAAAAGCCAAGTTTGGAAGAAGCACACAAAAATATTGTTTTGTGTCTCTCTCACGACTCAACTGCTGTCTTGAAGATAGCACTTTACTTCCATTTTTCTTCTTTTAGTTTTATTTCTCCTGATAAGACAACTTCTAGTGCCTACCTTCTCCCATGTATAAGGTATGGGGAGCATATTTGATTAGTAATACAAGAGTGATTGATTCAGTGGAGTTTGTAGGCTAACGGTTATTTTTGCTAAATTGTAGGTACATCTCTAATGTGTTACTTGCTCAAGCAACTGATGTACTTGAATTTCCTGCCATATCCCTTGACAGAGTAGCCATCTTGATTTTAAAGCAGCACCTTGACATTATGTGTAGAACTTGGATTCTAAATGAGTTAGGGATGGCACTTGGGTTGTAGCTAAACCTAAGGCTGCAGGAGAGCAGCAGGCATAAACAATCCAAGAGTCTTTGGAGAGCATCAGTAACGACTTCCTGACCAAACTTGTCTACTGGATCTCTCACAAACAAGAAAGGATTTGTTGTGGATGTGAATGTTGAGGGCAGCTTTGGCAGAGTGACTGTGAGATGGCAGGGTTTGGGATCTTAAGGGGACATGTCAGGACAAAAGACAGGACCACAACCCTGGCTGTCAGGAGAGCAGACTTTGGTGTCTTCAGTGATCTCCTTGTTAGAGTCCCAATGGATAAGGCCCTGGAGGAAACAAGGGCCCAAGGAAGCTGGTTGGTGTTTCACCTCCTCTAAGCTCAAGAGTAGTCCTCCTCCCAGCAGGAAGTCAGGAAAAAATGCCAGAGGTCTGCATGGATGAGCAAGGATCCTCTGACAGATTTCAAGCATTAACAGGAAATACCCAGGAGCTAAAAGCAGTTTGTGAAGAACTGTAGCCAGTGGGAAAGACTCACATGGAGAAGTTCGTGGAGGACTGTCTCCTGTGGGAGAGACCCCATGTTGGAGCAGCGGAAGAAGTGGCAGAGGCAATGTGGGATGAACTGAAAGCAACCTTCCTTCTCCATTTCCCTGAGCTGCTTGTGTGGGAGTGGGGGATATAGGACAGGGAGCAGGGGTTGGGTAGAGAATTCTGAAGTGAAATTGAGATAGGTCTACTCTTCTACTCTTTGCTGGGTTAAAAACTGTATGGTCAGGCCCAGAGGGTGGAGTTAAATCCAGCTGGGGGGCAGTCACAAATAGTGGCCCCTGGGCTCAGTATTGGGGCCAGTCCTCTTTTATGTCTTTTTTGATAATCTGGACAAGGGGATTGAGGGCACCTTCAAGTCAGTTTGAAGATGACACCAAACTGGGCTGGGGTGTTGCTCTGCTGGAGGGTAGAAAGGCTCTACAGAGGGATCTGGACAGGCTGGATTGATGGTCTGAGGTCGATAGGATGAGGTTCAACAAGGCTGAGTTGTGCCCTTGGATCACAGAAACCCCGGGCAGTGCTACAGGAGCGGCTGGAAAGCTGCCAGGCAGAAAAGGACCTGGACAGTGGCTGAATATGAGCCAGCAGTGTGCCCAGGTGGCCAAAAAGGCTGATGGTATCCTGGCATGCATCAGCAATAGTGTGGCCAGCAGGACTAGGCAAGTTGTTATCCCCCTGTACTTTGTACTGGTGAGACCACACCTCAAATCCTGTGTTCAGTTTTGGCCCCTCACTGCAAGGAGGACATTGAGTTGCTGAAGCATTTCAAGAGAAGGGCAACAAATCTAGTGAAGGGTCTGGAACATTAATCCTATGAAGTAACAAGCAGCAGGACAACAGGGAACTGTCTCAAGTTGTGCCAGTGCAGAAGTTTACCTTGGAATTTTAGGAAACATTTCTTCAAGGAAAGGATTACTAATCACAGGAGCAGGGTGCTCAGGAAAGTAGTTAAGCCACCATTCCTGGGGATATTTAAAAGACCCATAGGTATGATGCTTAGGGACATGGTTTAGTGGTGGCCTTGGCAGAGCCAAGTTAATGATAGTTCTTGATGATCTTCAAGGTCTTTTCCAATGATTCTGTGATTCCATGATGTTCTTTCTCTGTGATCTGCTCATAGTTGAGATCACTATGAGCAGTCATTAAGATATTTGGTTCTAGCCTGCATTTCCAAAGAATCTACTTGCCCACCCTTGAAAAGGGTGCTGCAAAATCAGTGGTTATATCCTTAAAAATGCTGAGAAGTAAAAGCAGATATAATGAGGAGATTGTTTGTATTTCCTAATCTGTGTGTTTATAGTGCAGAGATTCTCTTTGCAGCATTTTTGTTTCTGTATTTTAATGACTTCGAAGGCACAGTAAAAACCTGGCAGTTTATTATATTCATTGGTGTGAGTGAATGATTGTTTGGAATGAGGAGTGGTTTACCAAGCACACAATTTTTCTATAATATTTCTCCTACTCCTTTCCAGTCTCTCTTAAATTGGTTTTTTTTACTCTTCTTTATTATTTGAGCTATTATAGTCAGTCATAAGGGCATTTTAATCTTACTTGTACAACTAATATCTTGTTTGCCAGATGATTATAATATTGAAATGAAACCCTGAGATTATCACAGGAAAAATTAATCACTGAAAAAAGATTGTGTGTAATAATGTATACATACAGAAATCATGTTCTTAAAAATAGAATACATCACAGTCTTAGCTGATTTGTTTAAATAAAGTACAAAGAATAGCATCATGTCACTTTTGTAAGTACTTCTAAAAAAATGAAATTAAAAAAAATCACTGCATTTGGAGCCTATTTTATTCTTATGTGCAAAGAGGTCTCTGTTTGCAACCCTGAACTTCACTTTTTACCAGTATACTGAGATTTAGACTATTCTTTGTCTTTGAAAAAACAATGGGTAAGCTCCTTCCAAACTGTGCAAGTGTTCAGATGAGAATTTATTGTCAAGTGTCCCACTTTATCTCCATGTTGTGTTATAAGCAGATACAAAAGCTGTTAAGAGTAATAAAAACTCTGGATAGTAATTTACAGTAAGTTTGAATCGTCTTCAAAATTAGTGAATATTGGAATAATTGTCTTCTGTATAGGCCACTGTTTACCTTATAATATTTCTCTTAGGAAATACAAAGTAAATGTAATATGTGTAGCAATGATGACAATTGGTAAGGTGTTTCAAGTCTGTTTAAAGAAAGTAAAATATGTTGTTTTCAGCTTTTTTCCAGATATTGGATTATATGGTACAGTTGTCAATGATGACAGGTATTCTGTAAAGAATCTACCATTAGAAATGTGGATAAATTAGAAATATTATTGTTACACATTCTCTTGAAATTATGATGATATTTGGATATAATTGTGATATTTTGAGCAGAATAAATATATTTTCCTAACATTGAATAGTTTATAATGTCTGAATGTAAGAAACTACCAGATACACCTCATGGTCAAGTGCTATATGTACTGATGTTCTAACAATGGTTATTAAACATAGCATAACCTGCTAAAATGTACTTTAATTTTGAGAAGTATTGTTATGTATTCACCTGTTAAACTGCTCTTTTACAGCAGGGATCCTTTTAGTGTGCATAGCAATTGTTAAGTCTGAAACTAGTTATGTAACTACTGGAAAAGTTAGAACAGATATTTTACTTAAAAAATTGTGTAAGCATTAATGTTTTGGAATATTAAAAATAGAGAGGTCTGTGAGGTAAAGAAACATATGTAATAATAATTTGTGATAATTACTGGTAACAATTTAGGCATAAATATAAAATTGATTTAATTTTTTAAGTTCAAGGAATTAGGAGGAGTGGAAATGAATCAGTGTGACTTTAGTGTTTCAGTCAGTTTGAGTGACTATTTCCTTTTTAGCTAAGAGTATTTGTCCAAAATAGTCTGTAGGAGAAGGAAATAGCTCATGTATCTTGTGTAGAAGTTGTGGATTGTTTATTTGGTATGTTTGGTATTTTGAAACAAGCTATTTGTCCTAGGATTGGTCTCCATGGGAGGATTTGCTTTTGTTTTAGGACAAACCATTAGCAGTTTCCTTGGTGACTAGTTGTGATACGTCTTAACAGAATGTGAAAACATGAGATGTGTCATAAAAACGTAATTTATTCTCTTATCTATTACTTAATTCAGGATGTTATGGTTGCTAAGAGCTTACATGGGTGAAAGGATGTTATGGGATGAATAATGGGTAAAAAAGCCCATGGGATGCTTTTAAGTAGAAAGGTAACACCTCCGTCTGAAGAAACCTTCAAACTGCAGATTGCTGCGGGTTGTAAGGGTATTCTGGGGAAGTACTGCTTTACTTACGCTGTTTCCTGTCTACTTTTGGCCACTGTCAGAGTAGACTGCCTAGATTAACAGTTGATTTTTACGAGTAAAAATGTTTTCTTCCAACCCTCTGTATGTGCCTACATGATTGAGACATTGCTCTTAGTTTGGTGAATTAATTTGTTTCTCCAAATGGACTGCACAACTTGTAAAGAGAGAAAAATTGTATATGTTTTTAAAAAAATAAAATTTTGAACTGATTTGAGGACTTACTGGTTAAAGTTGTTTCTTCAAACAAATATTTTATTTTACAGTTCTGTTAACTTGCTGCTGCTGCTTTTTATATTTGAAAGGTGCAGATTTTACCAACATTTACTGTTTGAGTTCATATTAGTGTTTTTTTCTTTTATCATATGAATTTTATATTTTTGTAATTTTAAAATTTCAGGTGCCTTTATGTTTAACAAATACATCAAAGTCAAGGCTTTAATTTTAAAAGAAGAACAAAAATTACTGTCTGAATTGAATTCATTCTGTAAACATCCTTTACTCCTTTGACTGTTTCACTTATTAAGAATTGTTATTGAACAGGCACTTCTGACTGCCTCTATGACTATTTCACTTATTAAGGCAGTCAGAAGTACCTGTTCAATAACAATTCTGAGCTTCATACAGACATTACCTTCTTATATATCAATTCTAGTTGCTGCATACTTAACATGCTTGACATAAAAATCTCAAAAAATGAGATGAAAACTGAGAGTATTAAATTTTCATTACTTCTTGCTTTAACCTATATTCTTACTTCTCCAGCTGTCCAACTATTGAATGTCATCATGTTACTTAGCCTTAATCAGATGCATTAGGTCTGAAGTCTGCCATTATTTTATTCCCCAACGAGTAAGGTTACCAGAACTGTAGGTTCGGTGCTGGGTGGTGTGCAGAGCAGCTTACGGTTAAGGGTATGCTTAGAGGCTGTCTTTCCAAGAAAACTTGCCTGAATTGAGTTTTTAATAGTTTTGATTATATTTCTTGTTTTTCTAACTGCTTGAGCACCAGCTAATGTCCTCCCTAGAGGTGCTAATAATTGCTGTTATAATGAAGTCTAATCTTTTTCTCTTCAGTTTTGTAGCTTTGATCTTGGTTATACTGTCTCTTACATGCTGTATTACCTGGAATTAGAATTGCACTTTGTGATTGAATCTGAAATACAACAAAACCACTTGCATTGCTTTCTGAATGACTTTTAATATACAGATTTTATGGGCAATAATGTAAGGAAACAGCTTAAATCGCAGGAAATAATAGATTTCTGCGGTACATCATGATTAGAAATATCTCTGAAGTGATGTAATCATTTTATGTTTGTATACTTTACAGAGAAATGGTAAATATATGCGTGTAAAATAAATTTTTAAATCATTTTTCATGCTGTTTGGTATTACTTTTTAAGTAATAAAAAAGCATAGATAGGCCCAGTGAAATTTAATAGCTTCCAGCTATCAACTCATCGAAGATTTTGTCTGCAGCTGTTATTTCTATTGTGTACGGTGTTTTAATCCATGTTAGATTTGATGTACTAAGTGTAAATCAGATATGAACTTCCTTATATTCTCTGCCCTGAACATCTCAGACTTGTGACTTGATCTAAAACTTACTAAGGTCAAGAGAATTTTTCTTCTAGTAACTTCAGCTGTCTTCTCAAGTGCTTACAAATTTGTATGAACATACAGTTTTTTGAAGGGCTAAATCAGGTGTCTATTTTTTGACTGAGACTATTATATAAAGTTGCATTGCTTGATAAACTGATCAGTATATTTATTATGTATCTCTTTCAGGGTGTTAAGGAATGGAATATTGCCCATCTTAATACAATATTGGATGTTGTAGGAGAAGAGTGTGGAATTTCTATCGAGGGTGTAAATACACCATATCTGTATTTTGGCATGTGGAAAACAACATTTGCATGGCACACTGAAGACATGGATCTCTACAGTATTAATTATCTCCATTTCGGGGAGCCAAAGTCATGGCAAGTTTAAATTTTTATGAAAGATGATATCTCAGCTGACTAAACCATCTGTTGATGGGATAGAATTGCATCACAATGGTAACCTATACTGAAAAGCTAAGATAGTAGTTTTGTGAGGGGTTTTTTTAAGTTCAGTACTATGAAATATGTGAGGTTGGCGATGAACATCACATCAATGCAGTCTTTGATTTTTGAAGAAAAAGATAAGTACATAACGCTTATTGGAGTTCAACAGAAAAATATTTTAAAGATCCAATATAGGTAAGGAGTTGGGAACCCCAAGACTACTTGAGGAGCTTCTGAAAGAGCTCTTTGAAATCAGTTTCTTTCGTTCAGTTGCCCTTTGGGACTGCATAACATGTTTTGTATTAAACGTGCCTTTATTTACTTCTTTGAATCAGAGTCATTCTCTAATGCGAACTTGGTAGGACCAGTAGGAGGCAAGATCAAGTGTTAAAGGTACTTCCTACGTACAAAACTTCTGCTATCCTTTCTCCATAATCTTAAATTTTTGGTTGAACAGCTGTAATAGACAAGCTGGTTTAATATTATACGTATCAATTGTGATATACATGTATCCAAGGTATATGAGAAGAATGTTTTCCATTTGATCATAAAATCTTTTTTCTTTTTTCCTCCCAAAACACCTGTGAAGAGAACATAAAATCATTAGAAAGATATATAAAAGATATGTTATATATCTTTCTAAAGATTTTAGTTCAATTCTGGGGTTTTCTAGTCATCCAGACTTGGGTAGAAAATTTATAGCTGGTAATTCTATAAAACATTATTTGTTATTTTTATACCCATACAAAATAAAAATACCTGTGTAACATTTTGTATTTATACTCTGAGGGTGGTAAATTGGTCAGATGCTGCTTCTTAGGTAATTGCTTTAAGTTGACTTGCTGTTATAGTGGGTCTCTTGAGTAAAGGCAGTGAAGATGGATGTAACCTGTTGTGGTAAAATACAGGTCCATGTTTTGAATTGCTAAATGTGAAATTGCTGCTTTGATAGAATTAGCCACACTAAGAAAGTCTTAGCCATAAGATTAGTATTTTTGATAAAAATCAGTGTAAAGATAGGTGATTCCAAAATGTTCTAAGATGATAGGACACATTTAACTAATACAATGATTGCATGAATTTTTTGCTTCTTAGGAATTTGAAGAGTGCTATTTGAAGAAAATCTCACTGCATATTGTGAAATTCCAGGAGCAGAGACATTTACTTAAACCCTAAAGTCCTTAGGCATAATGGAAAGAAGATAGGAAATCTTCTTTTCTTTAAGTATTTTGAAGGAGGTGTGAGTTGATAATTGCTTTTCTAGTTTACAGACGCTTGTTTACATTATGAATGAACAGAATCATTAAACACTGACCTCTTCATCTTTGAAAAAATAACAGTGGATACAAATTAATTTTTTGGGCCACATTGGCCCATATTTTTAGGTAATGCAGCACTAAACAAAAATTGAATGAAAGACAACTAAAGATTTGATTTACACTTGTGCCTTTACTGTAGGAATGCTGCAATAATTTATGCTGAAGCTGCTCATTTATCAGTAAAATGTGTCTTTTTTAAATGTGATATTAGTATAATGTTTTCTTCAAGAAAGTTGAGCATGAGCTGAATCTTAGGATACCTATAGTAAAGGTCTTGTCTGCTCTTAAATTTGAACAAATTTGACAAATACATGCTTAATAAAACCAAATAAGATGACATGTACAGTAATACATATTTTCTAGTTTTAGTGGGTGTACGTGCTGTTCATCAGGACAGCCATACTGGTGTTATGGAAAATTAATATGCAGTGTACTTTCTCTGAATTGTGAAAGGACAACCACTTCTGTGTGAGAGCCACAAAGAGAACTTGTGGGTAGCAGCTAAATCTAACTGCTATGGCAGTCTTTATGGAATTGAAGCTTTCTACAGTGTTTAGGTATAGATTAACTTTCATTACTTATACTCTGCACTTCCAAGAGGTATGCAAAGAAATCTGTAGTTTTATATTATGTATACTGATTCCTTTATTGACTGCCTCATATGAAACATGAGGGAAAAGCATGTCTGAGCAACACTTGCAAAATCAGGACTAGGGCTGTTTATGTGTTTATGTATATATTTGTGTAATACATATGTTTTATAGATTCTTTAACTTGCAAAATAGTGCTACAGAGAGGAAATTGAAGGAGGGAAAAGAATTCAGAAGCTCTGAAACAGATTAATATGAGGGCAGAAGAGAGTGACATAGGGTAAGGAGAGATTTGCTGGAAAGTAGAATAGAGACAATTGAAATTGCCATTAGGCAGAATTTTTACTGCAGTTTTCCTTTTGCATTTTTTTTTCTGAGTTGAAAAATCTTGAAGATGGTACCTCATTTTACATCACAGTTTCTTAGAAAAGGTCTTAGTAGGAAGATGAACTGTTGGTGTGATCGATGATCTACTTTATTAATTCAGTTATTTTTTGATATGATGTATTATGTAATAGTATCTGTGAACTGCTTATTAGTATTAAAAATGTCTTCATTCTGGCATTTGTTGTTAAATATTTTCTTCTTTTGGAATTATTGTTGTGGGGGTATAGGCCCTGACTAAAGAGAATTTAGTTTTGTTTCGTGTACTAATTTGAGGAATTTTGTAATGTTAAACTATTCAACTCCTCTTGAAAATTCATGCCTAGCATAGAGCAGAATTTTGTTAGTAGTTCAAATGTTAGACTATTAGTATATGTACAATATCCTTGGCTAAAATACAGATAATGCTTCAATTTACATTATAAATTTTTAAATTAAAAAAACTGAATAAAAAATATTTTTAAAAAAGTAATTCTGGGTTTATTAAGTATCTGAAAGCAAGGCTTACTCTTTGTGCCAATTACCTCACGAAAAACAGTGACGCTAAATTTTTTTAAGTGCTAAAATGACGTAAATCTTCTTGAAGAGTATTAATAATGAATATGTGGAAGTACTTCTTAAGCAGGCACAAAATAATTATTTTCATGGTACTGTGGGTATTTCAAATATAGTAGTAATTGGACTAACTTATTTTTTTAAAAATTTTAAAGAAGAGTAAAGATGTGTAGAGAATATAGTATTTTGCTTTAGAAAGTAATATTTTAAAAAAATTGTTCTCATTTTTTCCACCTTTTATATCTGAGGGTGGAGGCCTGAACTCTTTTCTGCATGAAGAACCAGAGTTTTTTACTTACCATTGAGAGGGGCACAGTATGAATTTGCAGTATGTAATAATAATATTATAATAAATAATAATTTATGTATCGGTTTATATGTTTTTTGTGACATTCCATCTGGTCTTCACTCTAGCTTTTCCAAAGACTGGAAATGACAATATGTTATGTTAAAACTCCCTCCTGTTTAATAAGGTATTTCATAAATCACAAAATGCCTTGCAGGGCTGGTCAGTCATAAAGTAAATGAGAATATACACTACAGAAAGAGAAGATGATTCCATCTTTGTGATGATGTCAAGAAAAAGAGACCAGATTGTTGAAGAGAGAATGCTTAGATAGCCAAAATTAGATGGATTAGGAGAGTGAGACTGTACTTCACAATTTATTTAGGTTGTAAGAGGAAATGGTTCTGTGGTGACATTCAGAATAAAGCAGGGATTTAGGTTCAGGAATTCTCTTCATGATTTCAGTGGGTATTGGATGGTGAGAAATCCTGATCTCCAGGTTGCCTAGAATTTATACCATGAGCAACATTACTCACACCTCTTGATTGCCATGACTAATCTGCTTTTATGGATTTGCCAGTGTTGAATGTGTACCAACATCATTTCATGAAGTGGAAAAATCAGGAAAGATAGTTAGTTACATGGTAGGGGGTGTGGGAGTCTTTAAAACACGATTTTGTTTCAGATTTTGCATCCCAGTAGCAGAAGAGATAGAAATGGTGTTTTAAGTATGATGGGATAGAAATGGGTGGTGTTCTGATATTAGTATTACACAAAATTACAGACAAAAATGGTGAAGAAAGAAAAGCATACTCAGACTGATGCTAACATTGTAGAAATTGAGAACAGATATGGCACTAAAGTAAATGGATTTAAAGAGACTCAGCTAGGTCCTTCCAGGGTCTTCTGGGTAGAATTAACAGGACTTTTAGTGTGATCAGCAGCTGACAAAAACTAGTTAAAATCTGGACAGGTGATTAAAAACTCAGCACAAGTTATGCATACCGTTGACAGAATTGGCATGTTTCCTAGTTAGGTTCTATGTCTGGGAAACAGAACAAACTCAGAAAATTACAGAAAAGTCCAAACCTTTAGTGAGAGAAATAGGAATAATGTATAAAACTTCCCTGGGAGGTGGTGGGACATTTATGCTCAAAGTAGAAGAGGTGAGGATTAGTCACACTTCTTGCTGCAAATTGTCATAAAAGTTAGAAATAAGAATATTATGGGTCACAGAGATGACAGTAGTCAAATAAAGATTCTGATTGTGAAAAGGCAGCTATAATCAAACAGTATGGTGATTTGTCAGCAACCTGAAAGGGTTATTGTGCTTGAAACTGAGCAATCGTTTTATAGTTGCCGTTCTCCATAAAAAGGAGGAACTTTGCTCAGGGATTAGAAGAAAAAGAGAGGTTTTGTTTGTTTTGTTTATCCCCTGTGGAAAAAAAATATGAATGTGCAGGAAAAATCAGGTACTATTACCCTGTCAGTATATAACATGGACTTCAGTGAAGCAGTTTGGTTAAGTATTTAACGTAATGCTAAATTTGCTTGTGGCTGATGCTGTTAATTATTATCTGTACGTGCATGTGGCTTAGGAAAAACAGAACCCAAATTGTTTCTCATTGAGTTTCTGGTTGCTGATTTTTTTGCACAGTAAAGCAATGATTTGTTGTTTCTGGTGTGGTTATTTAAAGCATGCGGAGAAATAGTGTAGAAACATTAATCTTGAAAACATATACGTAAATGTTTAACAATTACAAGTTAATGGCTTAGATTTAATATTTATTTCTTATTTGTAGTTATCTTGTCACCAGTCGCCTTGATTTACTGAACTAATATGTATTTCAGAAGATCTTTCTGAATGATACTCGACAAATATATGTACCATATTTTTTCTGTCCTTGTAGTATGACTAGCAATGAACAGCAACTCTTCAGCTTCTATCTTTTCATGCTATTTAACAAGTATGTCTTCCTGAACTAATAAAATTATAGTTAGCATCAACATTTCCTTTTTTGTCTTTTCTTGCCTTTTTGTCTGTTTCTTTGCTTGTTACCCAAGAAAAACTCTTTTTGCCTCTTAGTGATTTACCTTTTAATGTCCATTACATTTGCTTTGAAGTGGACTGGGCTTGGCCTTAAGATTGAGAAGTCAAACAAATGGTAACGTAGTTAAAAGAGAACTGGACACAAGATGACAAAAAATATTTTTCTATAAGTTTTTAACTGCTCAAATTCTCATATAAGCTAGCTATTGAGACTAAGAGTGAATGTGAATACTTTTTCCTCTGACTTGGTCATCTGAGTTTGGGAGCTTTTTGTTTAATGTACAGTAGACCAAGAATCCAACAAGAGTCATGTCACTCAGTTTTCTAATAAATTGTGTTAGGAACCAATCCCAAAGTGTCTCAAGTGTGACATTGGGACTCCTCATGTCTGATAGTACAAAGGTGGTCTGTCACCATTCATTAGTCCTTGTCTTAGCTGTGAGCAACAAGCAATAGCAACAGTGGGAAGAGGTAGAGGATTGAGGAGTAGATGTTACCGCAGACCTCAGATGAAGACTGTGAGAAACACCAACTTGCACTGAATGTATTGTATTGCTTTGTAACTGTAGATTATCTAAATAAATAGCAGTAGTCCAGTTAAATCATGTCCCATCTTATTTTTCCAAGAGCATTTTTGAGAGCTCAGTTATTCAGTTTTGCGTTTTTGTAATATTGACAAATACTTATGTGCCTATGTGTACAAATGGAGGCATGTGGCTGCATATTATCATTAAATTGTAGTAACACATACTTTTGCAGGAGAAACTTTTTAGGAAGAATATCAATCCAATTAGAGTCAAGTAAAGCAAAGCACAGCACAGCATCCAGTTCTGAATTTTTTTTAGACATAAACACTATCTGTTCATGTTTTTTACTTTATGGTGTTATGTATTTAATGACATACACTACAGTATATAATTCTGTACATACTGTTTCTCTGCTGGAGTGTGAAAGATGGCAAACATATAATTCAGATTAGTATGGATACACTGATATGTGTGTAATGCAGGCTGGAGAACAGTCATGAGCACTTTAGAAGTACAAATGGAGAGAAAGAAAATGCATTTTTTGAAGACAGTGAAGTTCTGATTAAAACTGCAAACATTGAGCATAGTCAAACTGAGAGTTTCTAATACTATGTGAAGTGGGTTTCCAGTAGGCATGTGTTTTGCTATGGATCAGCTTACAGAACACTGACTTTTGTAGTGGTTTTCCTTCCATGCAGCTCTTTCAGTTGTAATGGCATAAAATTGTAAAATTGCCTTATGTATGCAAAACAGAGGTTGAAGTAGGGGGATGTTTATTTCTTGTGTGAAATGAGGGCCCTAGGTCATTCACTTGTTTTTCTGAGTGAGTTGTTAGGGGAGATGAATGAAACGAGTTCACAGTGTAATAAGAGAAAAACTGTTTACTTAGTTTAACAGTGTGGATTTGGACTATGTTGTACAGCTGAATATACATTTTCTTCTTTTCTAAACCATATTTTTTAATAGAAAAGAATCAATCTTTTAGTGCTATTGCACTAAAACAAAAACCTATTATATCATATATTAAAGTAGTTAGTCAATAATAAATTCCACTAAAACATACCGTATGTCTAGGAAGTGCAGTAAATATGTTAATAATAAAGAAAAGCAGAAAGGAAACAGCTTTTCAATAGTTTTCTATTTTTTGGCTTCAGTAAACATGAAAAATAACATGAGGTTTATTCCAGTTCTTTTGTATCGTTACTGAGTTGTTGCAGATAGCATATGGAATTTTTTAAAAATTAATTTATTGTAAGAACAGAGGGATTCTAAGATATATACAATTCTTTAAAGTGTATTTCTGTAATAATCTCGAACTCCTATTGTAATGATTCTACATGGGCAAGTAACCCTTTTATTCCACAGCACTGGCTATAGGAAAATGTAGAGATGTTTAATGATCATATTTTTCTGTTGAATCCTTGTGTCTTTTGAAGCATATTAAAATTCAAAGCAATTAAACTAGTGTAAATTAGACTTATTTTATGTGGTTTTGTTTCATTTGAAAAATTAAGGTATATGTATCTTTTTTAACTGGAGTGGTTTAATAATATGAAATATTGTCAATGTACATGACTTAAAGTAGTGACTATAACATTTTTGAACTGCATAATATAATATTTAAAATAGAAATAAGCTGATATTTTTCTCAAAACCAAACCCCAAAACCCAACCTCTGTATTTTTAACTTAGATATTGATATATTTTTTTATGTACAGTTTTTCTGTGTTTAATCTTTTTGGCTTCTATATTCTTAGATATTTATCATACATGAGTGATGGCTTTTGTGGTAATTATGTCATTAAGCATTTCATCCTTTCTTTATGTGAATTTTAGGTATGCTATTCCTCCAGAGCATGGGAAACGGCTTGAAAGACTGGCTCAAGGTAGTAATTTCAGTATTTCCATATGTAAGATGTTTGAAGGACAAACATCCAGCAAAGTGAAAAACATTGTCCTTGACTCACCTACTGTGTTTTATTACTTAATGTTGTGTGACTTTTTATCTGTCTACAGTATTATTGCAAACAGGGAACACTGTGTAGTGCTCTGAGGAATTCCTTAGAAATAAAATAGTGGATTTTTTTTTCTTCTTCCCTTAGAACTTTATTTTGTACTGGCATTTTTAGCTTGGTGAAACTTATGAAAATGAGGCTTAGTATTTTGTTGTTCATTAGATTTTAATTGCTACTATCTTTGTCTCCTCTGTGTCCTTGCTCTTTCTTGTTGTAACTTCTTTTCTTTAGTAACTTTTTGAATCGTAATTTCTTATACAAATTTGATAGATCCAAATTTGAAGACAGACAAGTCTCCAGAAGGTTTATCAAAGTTAATGACTGGGTAGAGGACGGAGTCTTAGTTAGTACCTCTGCAAAGGGGGAAGCCCATGAAATGTACAAACAGTAAATCTCACTTTTTACCAGCTTTCTCACCAGTGAACAAGCATATCAATCCACTTTAGCTAAAGCATGTACTGGCTTTTGCCTTCCAGAGGTGTTGGGAACGTTTTTGAACAAGGAGTAGGGCTCTTGTTGTAAGGTTGAGTTTTAAAGGAAAAAAAGTTAAGAGTCTATAGGAAAATTTTCACACAGTAGTTTTGGTTTACTTTCAATAGTACACCTCTATTTTTGTTTCTAGAATAAGAGAGCAACTTATGAACATGGGAATAATTAGAGATGTTTCTTTGCCTGGGAGCCTGTGTTATATAGCTTGCTATTAACCATAATATGTAAAGAATGCTATTGCAAGTTCCTAATAGATATTGTGTATCAGGACCTAATTCTGCAAATTTTTGTACATTTTTGTTTTAATTTTTTTTTTTTTTGGTATATAGGTGCATGAGTGTTTTTCTGAACTGTTTTAGAACTATTGCTGAGAACAGTAGAAAGGCAGTTAGAGATGTGAATGTCAAGACCTGTGAATTTGCAGTCTTAAAAGCATGTCTCAAGAAAACAGATTTCAACTATTTCCTATTCCTAAATTTTGCCGTAGTTCCATTTGAAAAAGTTGTCCGTTGCTTTCCAGATTCTTTTTCCAATTTGCAAAGTATAGAACTCCTTATACACTTAACTTGAAGCTTTTGGTTTTCCCTGGTAAACAAATTGAAACACGTAGACTGGGCAATGGTTGCTGACTTATGATAGGATGATTCAATAATTAAGATTTACAAGAAATTATAAAAGAGTAAACAGAGTAGAGAATTGGGAAAGTTTAAGACAGAGACATTAGGGCTGGTGAAAAATGAAGAGCCTTAGCAGGCTCAAAGCAGATGCAAGGAGATTTTTTTTTCCACAGCATTCATTCCTCATTGTACGTGGTGAATTCTAAAATTTTGCATGGCTTTTGGTGCAGTTTGGACAACACTGGCACCTATATCTGTTAGAGGAGCATAGGAGCTGCTGCTGGCTTTGTAAGGTTTGGTGCAGCATCTAGTTGGTACTAGATTAGTTAGAGGAAGCAAACTTTTCATGCTGTATGTAAACACTTCTCTGTACATATACATTTAATATTTAATGGGAGCAAGATCTTTGGGTAGATAGTCTTTTTATTTGATGTCAAATGCTCCTCTGGTGTTTATTGTGGATTTCATATTGCTTGATTGTAGCTATACAGTGCTTTAAAACCATTCAAGTTTAAAAGTCCTGTAATAACACTGAGATTAGCTCCGTTGGTTAGACCATGGTGATAATAACACTGGGGTTTTGGGTTTGATCCCTGTATTGGCCATTCACTTATGAGTTGGACTCTATGATCCTTATGGGTCCCTTCCAACTCTGAATATTCTGTGAAATCTGTGAACATGTATTGAATTTCGTTTTATTTTCAAAGTGAGGGAAGACGATGGGCAGTTTCAGCAGTGCTTGTTCACTCATTTCTAAAAATGAAGTGGCATTGAGGCATGGCATTGATTGTTGCAGCCTAAAGAAACTCTTTAAATTTCTCTTTCAAATACCTTTATTTCCCTAGATATTGGATTAACCCATACAAATTCAGGATTAGGTAACTTGTGGAGATACGTGTCTTGCTTCATGGAAAAAGAAAGCATCATCAGAAAACTGGCCTGAAGGTGCTCAGGCCTCTTATTGCTGATAGTGGCCTACAAAAATAATAGGAAAGGAACATAAAGCATGGGGAGGAATGGAAATCTCGAAACCGACTGTTTTTCAGAAGCCAGTAGTTTATATTGGGGGAACAATGTCATGTCTTAATGTCCAAATGCTAGAGTCAGAATTGCACAATAGGCTGAATGGGACTTAGCACTTCAATCTCACCTATTTTTGCTTCATAGCTGTGTTTCAAATAGTAAATAGCAACTAAACCATAGAATCAGATACTGAAAAGTGATGATAAAATTTAAAATAGTGTTTATTCTATTATGCTCAGTGACTGAAACTGGATTTACGTAGGAAAACTACATACTCATACAGAGATTTTTTTTGTAACAGCAGTATAAGATAGATGAATTAGGAAATGTTAAAGAGGGTTGGCCATGAAACTAAGTGTTTAGCATTCAGTTTTTATGTCCTCTGGGGTATTTTTCTGTGAGTAGGTTGTTTTCATGATAATTTGTGTCCAGCTAATAGCTGAGAATGGAATATAGAAGATGATGCTGTAGTACTTAACAGTAAAGATGAGGGACCATTTCTTATTATTTCCATGCTGTAGCAGTTAAGACCTCTGTGATCTGCTTTGCAGCTGCTACCTCCTAAAATACAGCCTAAATTTTATAGTAAGGTATCTTACAAAGATGAAAATAAAAAATAAGCTGTGTGGCTGCAAGTCACTTAAGAGCAAACATTATTAAAACATAGTGTAAATGACACCTTCATACTTAATGACATGAAATTGAAAATATTTTTAATCATATTTTTGCACGAGTGCAACATTTGAAGGAAAAAACCCTAATTTTTTCAAGGTTACATCTGATGACCAGATACCTACTGAATTAATCAAATGCTCCTAAATAATTAAAATAATAAAATAATACATTAAATGTGACAGGTTGTCTAAGTCAAGGCAGAAGTTGATACATGAAATTAAAGGAAGGCTAGAATATTTTCCATTATCTTGTCTGCACATCACAATTACCACACATGCCTTTTGTGCCTGAATGCTTTCATTTTTGCTTTCCATTGAAATCTTGATTGACTGTGGTGCCTACAAATGCTTTATCTGAAAGACATTAGACTTGCATCTAATAAAGACAACAGTTTGATTTTGCCCTTCAGCTGCTTTCTCATTTATGTGGATTTTTTTTTCAATTTTATGTAGACATAAATGTAATAAAAATCTCAAGTGAGCTGTTAGCTGCAATTTTTATACTTTCATCTTATGTTAATCTGGAATACTATGGTATTCTTAAGGACTTTTTGTTTCACAAAATGGGTTAGAAAATAAAGAGAATAGAAGCAGAGTGCCAAATGAAAAATGACAGTTTGACGGATTTTGAAGATCTTTTAATAGATCATTTGAGTGCAGAAAACTGTTTTAGAAAGGAGATGACATCTATCTGTGGTGTTCAGTTATGTTAAAGAAGAAACTAAAGTAAAGATTAATATACTGTAAGTATATAGGGCTGTTATAAAGAGCTTTGTATGGTATATAGTATTAATTTCTTCATTTCATGCAGAAGTCATTACCTGTTAGGTCTGAAAATAAATACAAATAATTGTTGAAATGATATTTGAAGCAGAACTTGCATAACTTCTAAGGGTCTTGAAAACTTGAGCAGCTGAAGAATTGAACTTTTTCTCAGCAATATAAGTCCACTTAGGAAAGTTGCATTTAAGAGATAATAAACTTAAATGTATTCATTGAATGTATTCATCTGGGCATACTGACAGTCATATTTCCTAGCAGTTGAAAGCCACTTTTTTGTGGGTTTTGTACTTTGTGCTTTGTATAGCATACGAATCGCTGTTGTTTCTTCGTGACGATTGTTGTCATGCAGACTTACCCTCCTAATTTCTTTTATGTTCGACATAGAAAGTTAAATCAAGTTAGTTTAAATCACTGCAACGTAATTTAAATAAATCATATAAAATTTGTATTTATACCTACCAAAGTAAAATCTAAGAAGACAATTACTAGAAAACTCAATAATTCTTTCATCTCTGCCTGTTTTCAAGAATACTGACCTGTGAATTATGATTAATATTTTGTATTATTCTAGGTCCTTTAAATAGTATCTACATAAATAAAAAAAATGATAACTTTGCGTTAATTTGGTTTACTTTTAATTTCATTAACATTAAATTTCAGTAAAGATATTTGCAATTTAGGGTGTTCTTTTTCTTTTGTTATAAGTTTTATATTTTCATTTTTAAAATTTTAAATAATAATAAACTATGAATGCAGCACTTTTACTGTAAAATTTCAGGTGAAGTGTTGAGTATGGAAGTTAGAAAATCTGCAGAAAGTGTAGCCTCATTCATTGACTGGTCAGAATTTGATTTGAAAGTTCCCTAAGAATATGACTTTTTGGATGTGTGCTTAAATAATGACTTTATTATTAGCCAAATTGTGATATCCTTGATCATAGAAGGTAATATGTAGCAAATCAACCTATTCAGTCTAATGGAGTTATATAATTACTCTTTTGGGAATAGTATTGTAATTTGTCCTTTTATGATTTTAGCTGAATAGTTTAATTGAAGATATTATGGACACATTCTTAGTACCACAAATAAGCATTCCAAGTATCTTGAAAATGCCAGTCAATCAGAGAGTGGAACCCAATCCACTTCAGTTTGCCTGAGTGAAGGTGTGATACTGATGTGGTTGTCTGATACGAGTTGCATGTGATCTATAGTAAGGATACTCTCAGGGTGGAAGGGAAAGATGAGCCTTCCAGGTAGCAATGCCCACTGTCCCTCAATAATTTATAGATTTGAACTTATTTCTTAAAATATGTTCTTTATCCCTGAACCATTTAATGTACGCTTTAAAGACTCCCAGTGCAGCACTACCCTGCGTGTTTGATTTCTCAGTCACAGAATCACAGAGTATTCTGAGTTGGAAGGAACCCACAAGGATCCACAGCTAGGAACCTGCTGAGTGCCTGCAGGCTTTGACTTCTGGCTAGCATATGTGTGGGTTCTAAAACCAGAAATGGTATGGAAATGTCATACTGAGGTGGAATAGCATTGACAAAGGATGTATCTTCACCAACCCAGCGATACTGTTGTAACTAAAGAATTAGTTTAATTTTGTTAGTACAAATAGCATTGGTAAGATTGGACATTTTGGGCTATGTTATCTGTCAGAACATGTATAAAGAGTCTTCTAAGGGCATGGTTTTGATTGTTAGCACATTCTGAAGCCTATGTTTTCACATATTCTGTGCTGTTGTTGCTTGTGAGAAGGAGATAAGGATTTTAAAAAGCCAGAGAGGGACCTCGGCTTTGGTAGATAAGTGTACACTTCCTGTATTTTATGTGTTCGTGCCCAAATGTTTGGCCACCAAGTGTTGAATCACATACTTACCTTGTAGACTGTTCTAATTCTGCTCTAGGTGTTGAGAATGTCAGTGTTTCTGTAAATCATGGATTAGAGAATTTTCAGTTTGATGGTCTTTATCTAATGGGCATAAATCAATGAGCAGCCTAATTCAGTTTTACCTTGATCTCCGATTATTGCTCATTGGCTCATATGAAGTAATTATTTTGAATTCTCATCTTGTTTCTGTGTAATTATTTCCAAGAAGATGAATATTATACACGTGTGCCATGTCTCAAGAGACCATCCAAGAAAATGGGGTTGCATGCCAACTCCTACAAAATACTTGCTCTTGTAGAACTAATTTAGAGTTAATGGTTAGTGTTAATGGATTAAATTAAGATTTCATGTGTCTCTTAAAAGCATGAATGTATTACAGAATTTGAATGGTAGTTACATTCAAGATAGATTTCGGTATTTTTTTTTATGTGGGATTTCACTAAACATGCAGGATTAAATGGTAATTCTGTAAATTTGTAGTTTTAACATCAGCTTGGTATTTGAGAATGATTCTGGGTGTTGCAGGCATATCTTGAATTGGTTTGCATTTAATGTTTTTGTAAGGGTCTTGTAATATTTCTAAAGCGAGTCCTCTATTCAGCGTGCTTTTAGGTATTTTTTTACATTTGTTCAGCAGTTCTCCCACAGGGATTTATTTTCTTTTCTGAAAGAAAAGCTTCTGTGACCTTACATTTAGCCTGGCAGAACGAAAGACCTTTTGATAAACAGAGTCTTGTAAGGAGGAAATACTACCTTCCTTTCTTTCCTTGTTCATAGAAGGGGAGTGCTTTTGAGAAAATGAGGTGAATGAGTCTGAAAAATTTGTGTGTGTAAGTGTAGACTTTGGCAAGTCAAAAGATATTTTATAGTGGTACAGAATGCTTAGGCTGCACTTTTGATTTCACTGCAAGGGCTCTGTAACCACAGCAAGCGTTCTCCTGTAAATTTCTTGTAGTGGATTTTGAACAGGTTGTGTTCTGCTGTTCTGTGTTATTTGCAGCTTCCTTGGAATTCAGCAACAAGCTTGCCTTCTGGTTGGACTTGTCACAACTATTTCTGATCTCTTGGAGTTGTAGTGGTACAACATAAGTTTTGGATGTCAGCCCATCATTTGCTTTTTATCAAGCTAATTGAACATATTTCAGTATCAGAATTTGGTACAAAATTTGTTTTCTCAAGGAAAATTCAGTCAAACTTTCCCTGCTTTTAGAAATTAAGCTTTTTGCTACCTTTCATACTAGCTCTTTCCTCAAGTCTCAAGTATCACTTTCAATCACGTTTTTCACTGTAAGTTCCAGTATATTTCTTTTATTATGTTGCTCAGGACTGAGATTTCTTGAATCTCATAAACTGTAGGTTCTAAGTTATGATTGCTATTGTTATGTTATAGGCATTAATTGTACCCAAATTTCTTTATTGGAAATTGTGGGCTAGCTTCTTTTAACTGTCTTTTAGTCAGTGAAGCCATGATAAACATATGTTTTATCATGACATACATGATAAAACAGTACCTATCAAGTTGTACTTTTGAACCTTAGAACATTATTTACAGTTTCAGAAGAGTGTAAAGAATTCTATGCCTGTTGGTGGTGAATAAAAATAAAAGGATGAATTTGAATAAAATTTGATCTCAGGGCAGCTTAGCAGACTTCCTAGTACATGGATCAGCAGAAGTCCACATTACACCTTTGAGGCTTTTAATGCTGCTTAACCTTATTTCTGAGCAATCAGAAAAAGAATTTTCCTCTGGTACTGGTGAGTGTGCTAGAATTGAATGTACAAAGAATATAACAACTATAATGTGATCACCTTGAAATTGTTGTAAACGTTTAGGGTTGTTAAGGGACATAATATATATAAGACTCACCAGAGTGAAGAAATTTAACATTACAGAGAAGGCTATATATTATGGGAAATTCTTGTTAGTTTTTTTTTCCTCAAGATGGTTGATTGAAAGTGATTATTGTTTTTTTTTTATTTATAATTGAGTAGTGAGTGTGTTGCTCCAAGAATTAAACTGCTTCTGTGAATGATTAACTAATATTTATGCAAGACGGATACAACAAATTGAACAAATAACTAGTTAGAAAGTTGTATTGGTTTACTGTGTAGATGGTTTGTAAGTGCTAGGTAAACCTAGAGCTTGTGGAATCCTTCTGGATTTATTACTGTAGTTGATTGCCGTGTGTCCAGAATGAACATACTATAAAAAAAAGCCTCCGACAAGAATATATTTCTCTAAAGGGTAAGAAAATATGCCTAAATTTACAGGTCCAAATTTATTTTAAATTATTTCACTTCTTAACAAACAGAGAAAACACAAACCCCTGTAACCTCTCCCCCTGAAAAGCAGTTGAAAAACTTAGGAGGTGCATTTGATTTTTACAAATCTCTCAGAACCTAGGAATGACATGATAGAAAATTATAAAGCAAGTTTAAACAGTATTAAGTATTGTAAAATGTTACAAGAATTTCCTACTTGTTTTAAGGAAAAGATACATAATTTTGCTTATCTTGCCTTATTAGGTTTCTTCCCGAGCAGCTCTCAAGGATGTGATGCTTTTCTTCGCCACAAGATAACTCTGATTTCTCCATCAATATTGAAAAATTATGGAATTCCTTTTGGCAAGGTACATTAGTGCTTTTTTTTAAACTCTGCTTTCCTGTATTGAGTTAGTGTTCATTATAAAGATTGTTATAGTAAAGGTGGGGTAAAAATATTTTTTTTAGGCAGTGACTGCATGAAAAGATGTATTATAACTTTTATATAGCTTAGCTTGGAATTTTCTAACATTAAACTCTTGTAGCCATCACAGTCTTTTATTGTAAAAGTTTCTGTGATTTTTTTTTTCCAAGACATTACCAAAATTTCTTAATTTATTTCCATGCTTTCAATTTAAATGTAACTTTATCAATAGTATGGTCTGAATGATTTAGGGTGGGATAAAGCCAAAATAATTGTTATTTAATTTAAAGTATATTTTAAAAGCTGTAACATAATAGAAAATGAGTGAATGATTATTTTTAAGTGCTAGGTCATGATACAGTAAATGTTTGATAAGAACATTATACAAACAGGAAGTGGGAAGAATAACTGACTTTCTTCTCTTTGGATGAATTTAATACGTAGCTGCTTTTAAAAACGTCTGAAGTATTCAATTTTTTTCTCCTTTCTACAAGATTTTTCTTTTATTGTTTTCCACTTTGAACTTCTTATAGGTGCCAGCTAATGAAACATTTTCAATGCATTGCTTTCTTTTTGAAGTGTACTTATTTTATACACTGAATGCTTTACAAATTCAAAAATTCTAAATTTTGGAGTTTTGTAAGCTTACTTAGAGGACTAGAACTTGATTCAGAAGGTCCCCTGCCTGAACATCTGTTTGTGTTAATACTGAGTTTTAAAAGCCTTTTGATCATTAAAGGACTATGATTTTTCGTTTCTCACTGTGCAGATTATTTTAAGTTGTTTGGAAGAACCAGGCAATATACACTTTTTCTCAGTCTTTTCCCACTACAGTATAGTCCTGTAAACTGCCCTCGCCACACACCTTACTTATTATTGTGGTTTCTGTTTTAGTGTATGTGTTGTTTATATATTGATACCATGTGGACATGTGTATACAAGCTTAGTTTAACATGTTCCCCAGCCTAGAATATAGGATAATGCAGTGCTTTCTGTCTGGTGTAGCTGATGTTTTTTTAACGGTATGAAACTTAACCCATAGTAATAACATTTAAGTGAATATTTTCATGCATATTATTGCCCAGCTAAACGCCAACAGAGGTGCTTGATCGCTCCCTTTTGTTGGGATTGGGGAGAGAATTGGAAGGGTAAAGCTGGAAAACTTGTGGGTTGAGATAAAGACAGTTTAATAGGGAAAGCAAAAGCCACACACACAAGCAAAGCAAAACAAGGAATTAATTCACTTCTTCCTGTGGGCAGGCAGGTGTTCAGCCACGCCCAGGACAGCAGGGCCCCCGTCACATGTAACAGTGACTTGGGAAGACAAATGTCTTCCCAAACAATCCCTTCCACTCCACACAATCCCTGTGCCATCTTTTTATCATGGCTTTATATACTGAGCACGATACCATGGGGTCAGCTGTCCCAGTTGTGTCCCCTCCCAACTGCTTGTGCACCCCCAGCCTCCTTGCTGGCAGGGCGATGTAGGGAGCAGAAGAGGCCTTGATGCTGTGTCAGACACGCTCAGCAAGAACCAGAACACCTCTGTGTTACAGCCCTGTTGGCAACACAGGTGGGAGGAAGCCACTGATTTGATGTATGCCTTTTTGGAATATCACTTCACTTTTCATGCTTAAGTCAACCTAAGTGTGAAATTGAAGAAATGTAGGCGTTTAGAATGATACTACCTGCCTTGGAAAGCAAGCTTTTTTTGAATAAATTAGTCACAAAATAAGTAGTTTGTTTTTTGAATGATACATTATCATATGGAAATATAGTTGCTGAGTTCAGTTTTTGTAATATATGGGTAAATACTGATTCCCTTCATAACCTTGTGCTTTATCATAAACTGTCAGGCGAAACTTTCCAAGCTGGAAGGTTTTATAACTAGATTTATAGTTTTGGATTTACAGAACATTACTCTGAACAGTATAATTTTCAAGGTTGGTGTTTAAAGTAGTGTACCTATTTTCAGTACCACATATTTGAGGTGGGGTAGGGGAGTTGACTTTTTGTATTTTGGTGTCTTGATTATTCCTATATTATAATTAAAAAAAAATATGCTATAAACAGTTAAAGTTCTGTCACCTAGTCTTTGGAGGAAGCAGCCTGTACCCAAGTATAATTGTAATTAATGGGATTCAGTGAGAAAGTGAATAGAGAGAACCAGGCTGTGATCTCTCATGGCTCAAAGTGATAGAAGTGAAAATGTGCTGAATGCTGATAAGTCAGCCTACGCCTACCAGGTGGCAACTGAACTGCTGCTTGTTGCAATAGAACACCTGCTAAACTGTCAGCAGTGGGATGGTGTATTGAGATAAATTTTGGAATTGTTAGCGTTGAGAATAATCTTTCTTAACCATTCCCATGGCAATTGTTGGAGTGCTACCGCAACAGCTATAATATGTGCAACTGTATGTGCATTTGCCTGTATGTGCTAAATATGAATCCACAAAAAATTTACCCGTGCAAAATGTGAGATGCAATTTTTTTCTTTAGCTATGCTAGCTTAGTATATTTTTCTTGTTTTTCTCTCTTTCCTTCATCCTATAATACAATTAGAAATAGATATCTGCTAACCCTGTGTATTTTCCGATTGGGCAAAAAAGAACACAAGGAATTGGTAAATCTGTAAGATAAGAATTTTGAAGGAGTTTTTAAAAGCAGAAATTGAATGTAAGACAACTATGTCAGCAGAAAGCTGAGATTTAGGACATGACGTTAATAAGAAAAACGTTTGGAGTTTTGAGTTTTAATTTTAGTGTTTGTTTAAAATTTAACCCTTTCTTTTTGTGATTCCAAATCATAAGTGTATTTACCTAAAAGGGTCATGTTTGTCCTTCCAGTTTTTGTTACTGTATTGCTAATGCAAAGCATTGTCAGACAATGAAAGTTAATCTTTGAAAAGTCTCATTATTTTCATGTAATCAGCAAATGCATCTTGTTGAATAGTCATCAGTCATTGCTCAGATTATTTGCTTCATTTAAATGGATCTGTTTGCTTTTTAGTGGGCCTGTTGCCTGATGTGCGTTTCATGTAAAAAGGTATATCAAAGAGAGCATGGGGAAACTCTTTTGACTATTCACTTCTGTGTAATCTACTTTATTCATTAACTCTTATCAGATAGTTCAGAAGACAGTGTGCCATTTCAAGTCTCTGACTAACCTGTCCTTGATACCGTCTTTGGTGGTCTGACTTCAGTTGATTAAAGCTGTCTCTGTGTGGAGAGAATATTAGTGACTGACAGAAGTGCTGTCTCTTCTCCATGTCCAGAGGAGAGCAACAGTCCATTCTAGCAGAGGGAGATGAGATTTCTCTCTTGAAAGAGAATATCTTGACCTGTGATTTCTTAACCACACATTTTAAAGAAGCCCTCTAAATCTGATGTATCTTTTAAAACTAGGAAGTAGGAAAATGGTTTATTTTTGGATCTACTAAATTATAATTACCGTGGCAGTGGCTTTTAGGTAAGTTTTTTTTGTTCTGGTTGGTTAGTTGGGGCTTTTCTTTTTTTTATCTGCTTTCTCTAATTTCTTGTTGAGCCAGTGGCCTTAGCACACTTTTCTTTCGGTTGCACTTGTAAAGACCAGAGTAGTCCTTTGAAACTACCCTTGCTTATACTCCAAGACAATGTTAGAGCTTAACTGTAGTCAAGCATTTCTTCTTTAAGAATCATCTTCTATCCCCGTTGTCCTTTAGTTATTTGTAAATCTTCTTACCAGTAATGCCAGAGTGTTTCTGCTCTCTAAAATTTTGCTTAAAGAGGAAGAGGGGAAGGACAGTGGCAGATTAAAATTTGTTTTGATTTAATGTCTAAAGTGGTGCTTTAATAGCTTTATCTTGAGACATTTTACATAGGATTTCCAATGCAAGGGATCCCCTTGGTGGTAGCAGCTGTTGTTGTGGAAAGAGTGTGCTGCAGTTTACTTGCTGGAGTTTGAACAGAGTTTAGTGGTCATTGTGACAGTGGTTTAACAAGATCTGATGAACACGTACTACACTTGAGTATTTATTGTGTAGGGGATAGGATCAGCTGGAGCTGTCAGGGAGACCGTCCTCTTGAGTCACAGGTTCAGAGAGGACCCTGCTGCTTTCTGAGCTTCTTTTCACAGGGCAGTTTAGAAGGGGCTGGATTGAGGCTTTGTCACCAGACTTGGTCAATTCTTCATGTCTAAAGGATTATACATGCACTATCAACCTTTTACATCACTTAGCTAAGATGACAAAGTTTCAGTATGCTTACTCCCAGTTCTCTTAACAAGTATCTGACATGGCAAGAAGTCTCTCAGCCCTGAGGAGTAACCTTGAGAGGTGCCCCTACTCAAGGGGAGATGCTGGCTGCAGCCTCTGCCATGGGCTGGGGCACTATTTATGGAGGAGGATGGTTGACTTACAGTCATATTCACATACCAACAGGACATCTGGGTCACTGCACAAGACAACCCCTGGCCACTGTGTTGCCACCCATCTTCACAAAGTTCATCTTAAACCATATGCAGCCATCATGACTGCCACTGGTGGGTATTGCTTTGGACTGGGGAGTGCACACTGCCACAGCCATAAGACCTAAGAATTGGTGCATGGCATTTTTCATTAATTCTTCTTCCCCCTCTTCCCACTTAAAGACACTGCCGAAGTGTGTTCTTTTGGGATGAACAACATTGTTTTCCTAAACCGCTAAGGCTCATCACCTTAGAGTTTCTTCTACTTTATGCTTTCTTGCATAGAATAGAATAGGAAGAAACTTAAAAGTCTAATCAGGCTCTCAGTCGCAAGTCATTGAATCACAGTTTTTGAAATCAGTGAGTATAGGAGAGAAGGGTGAGAATAAGATCTCTCTCCAGTCTTTTGAAGAAAACTTCTGGTGCCACTTTAGAGAAACTTCTTCAGGGTGGTGGACAGAATAAGTTCTACAATTAATTTGTATGAGTACTTAGGAATGATAATTGGGGTGTTTTGATCCAGAATATGTCTGCTTCCTCTCAACCAGTAAGAATGATATATTCTTCATACTGTCTTTTCTAGTTCCCTTTACTTCTAGATTTTATTACCACTGAACCCCTGCTTTCAAGATTCACTATTTTGAACGTTCTTTCTGAATTTGTAAAGTATTACATGCAGCTATGTATTTTATAGTAAAGAACATTGTCTCAAGTGTACTGTTTCTGCTTGCATTAATCTCATTTCCCTGCAAGGTGAAAAGAACGTCTATGTTTTCAGTTAGTTGTAAAGGCAAATGTAGTTTGCATTGCTTTAGGACCAGAACTGCTTTTGTAATGTGGATCACTTTGAGGTTTTTTAAAATTTATTTATTTTGTTTGGATTTTTTTAATTTTATTTTAATGTTACAGGTTACACAAGAGGCAGGAGAATTTATGATCACTTTCCCATATGGATACCATGCAGGATTTAACCATGGATTTAACTGTGCAGAGTCAACAAACTTTGCCACCATTCGATGGATTGATTATGGGAAAGCAGCAAAATTGGTAAGTCATACTGTAGAAAATTGATGTATAAGGAAATCTTTCTTGTGGTTATTTCTTTGTGAGAATCTATGGAAGCTGATGAGAAAGGGAGAACTATGAGATCAGGTAGTACCTTACACTGCCATTGAAATTTTATTTATAGTTGCTGTTTTATAGTGGGTATTATACTTCCAACAATATGCATTCCTCTCAGTAGTGAGGTTTTTTTGCAGGTTAATGTGTATAGTGTTCTTCAGAACTAGTTCTATTTATGGATTTTTTAAGCTGAAGCTACATATACTGAGGTTAGTATATGTGAAGACAACTGCCTTTGCTCTTAAATCTCCTTTAAGCTCTACTGTTTGTGAAAACACTTTAGTTAAACCAGGAATTTTGATACCTGGAAAGAAATAATGAAACTTAAAGTTTAAAGAAAGAAATTCAACTTTTCTCATCTTTACTGTAATCAGAAAACTTGTAGTACAAGATAATAAAGGAACTGAGGTGTGTATCACTGAAGATATTTTAGACTGCAGTCTTGTTCTGTGGTGTGCATATCTTCCTTCCTTTTGCCCATAGGCACTCAGCCTTATCATCCCTATCTTAGTGTTTTGTACAGTCAAAACACTCCCAATGTACAGAGCCACGCCACTGCCTCTGCTTCCTTGCCTATCCCTTCTGAACAGCCTCTAGCCATCCACTGATGGATGTATAAGTAATGGCATAAAGACACAAGATCAAGAAACTGCACAATTTGTTCAGCAGAAGTTTTTTACTGTTGTTCAATATTCTGTGACTTTTATTAGTGTTAAGGCTTATATAAGCCTTGATTTGGATGACTCAGAAATTAAGTCAGAGGCATTTTCTGTGTTGACTTGTTTGTTATTGAGAAAAACCTTTCCAATGAGATGTCCTTATATTAGCTAATATGATAACATAGAATAAAGAGCAAAATCATCTGTGGTGGTTTAACAGCCAAGTAATGATTGTGGACTCTTGTTAAACATGGGAGACTGGGGAACGTCTTCATGAGAAAGTTCTCAAATAGCTGAAACTTCTGATTTTAGGCACTAATGTGCTCAGTATGCACATAATAACAGTAGTGAAAGTGTTGAAAATCTCTGCATGCATCCAGCATGTTCAGGCTGGTCTTTAATAGGAAAGTTCTGTTTTTAATAGCCAGTGGATAAGGTGGCAACTATAGAGTTAATTTAAAACCTCTAAAACTTATGCATTTGATAATTTTGCCTTTGAAATTCCTGTGGATAGTAGAACCATGAACACACAAAAGTTAATTGTGCCAGCTAAATGACCTGGATTTTGAAAGGTACGAGTGTCATGCAGCTCAAAAGTTGATTCAGCTGTACTTTGAGAATGGCAAAATTCGTCTTCAACTGTGGAGCAAAGCTGAGGTAGTGCTACCTGCAGGTACCTCCCTGTCAGTGTACTGGCTTCATATTTTTTAAGTTTTTAAAAAATGGTTTACTATTTGGTGTACAGCTGCCCCAGTACAAAAAATTAAATATTTTATGCCTCCAGCATGCGTCTCTGTTGTTGTATTATACTGTAAACTTAAGGTCATCTTTAAGTTCAGCAGAGTTAGAAGATAATTTTTTAAAGCTAATGTAATTGTATTGCTTTTCATCACTCCAAAAGTGCCTCTAAAATTCTGAAATTTTAGCTAGGAAGTCTTGGTATGTACAGCCTAAGCACTGTTTTATTTTGTCAAAATTCTCTAGCATATGGATAAAACTTTCGTCTTATGAGACTGAATTCTGTGCTCTGCTATTATTGCACATAGGAGCAGTATTGTGTATATATAAGAATTAAAGTCTGGTGTGTGCAGTTAAATTTAAATGCCTAAAACCTTCAAAGTGGCATCTGGACCAATAATGGCTTCTCTATAGAGAAATCTTAGATACGATAGTAAAATATGAGTTGCAGCTTCTTTGACAAATGGTCAGAGTGCTTAATGTTATTTGCTTATTTTTTATCGTTTATTACCACAAGAATGAGAATTAAAGTTTACTTTTTTCCTCATTTCAAGTGAAAGAATATGCTAGGAATTACTAATAGTAGAATTCTTTTTTTAAGTGGAAAGTGGAAATGTCTAAGAAGAGAAGAACTAAGAGAAAGGTAGTGAACTATTTCTTCATAAAACTTCTTTGTATTTGTTTATACCATACAAGTAGGGTAAACAAGACAAACAAAGGAAATACTATAGAATCATAAAATGAATTTACATTGGAAAAGACCTTTAAGATCATTTAAGTCCAACCGTTAACCCAGCACTGCCAAGGCCATCAATAAACCATTCCCTAAGCACCATATCTGCAGGTCTTTTAAATACTTCCAGGCAGAGATGGTGACTCAACCGCTTCCCCTGGGCAACCTGGACAATACCGGACAACCCTTTCTGTGAGGAAATGTTTCCTAAACCTCCCCTGGTGCAATTTGAGAGCATTTCCTCTTGTCCGATCACTTGTAACTTGGAGAAGAGACCGACCTCGCCTCACTACAAGCTCCTTTCAGGCAGTTGTAGAGAGGGAGGTCTCCCCTTATGACAAGCTGTGTGACAGAACTGGCATAGAACCGCTATGTTACCGGTATCATCATTTCTAACAACCACGCCCCCCCCCACCTCTACTTAGTGAGTCAACATCAGATGAGTCTTTCTGAACGAATTTAGGTAAAGTAAGCGTGAAAGTTTAAAACCTGGCATTTGAGGCTACTGCTTAGAAAGTTTTTGTCTTGCCTGGGTATGTGTGAAGACCACTGTGAACTCAACTAGTTGAATTTCTGCAGCTTTCTAGCCCAGAATTAAGGTTCATGGTAAATGCCTGTATTTAGTTTTACAGCCTGGCTTTCTGCTCAGCTCCTCTGCCCTTCATAGTTCCCAGTAACCTTCAAGTTATATGACTTCTCCTTCACATGCACAGATGCAGGCGTAAATTGCGTGTTTACCACTGCACACTTACAAATAAAGGCACGGATATCACCTGCCTTGGCTCAAACTGATCTTAAAAGTCTCTTCTCAAACTGCTAATAGTACCAACAAGGAGAGGGGAAAAAGCCCAAAGTAACAGCAGTAAACCTTAGCACAGCGTTCATGCTCTCAGTCAGTACGGCTGGTCTTTCATTCTGGATTGCTTTCCACAAAGACCCTTCTATCAGCTGGCAACTTCCTTGCCAGACAGTTATTACGAGGGCATTCTCTCTAGTTTGAGACTGTGTGTCAGTGTTGCACCAGCTACTAGGGAGAAGGCATAGAGCACGTTACAGGATGCACAAGGAAACAACAGGATTATGCTGCGCTGTAGTAAGCATCTCGGTAGCTTCTGAAGGTAGCGTTGGCAGCTTCTGAGGCAGCTAGAGCAAAAAAAGCACCTACACCATTTTAGGACAACATGTGAGGGCTGTTGAGGTTGGATTTCCTCAGGGAAAAAGGAAAAATCCAAATAAAATTGGATTGTTGTCCATGTAATAAATATTTAAGATAAGGTATAAGATTATAAGGTCTAAGGTACCTTCCACCCCCCCAAAGAACTTACGGTCTGATTTTGTATAATTGTACTATGTTTCTTGATTACAGTGTTGTAAGACGAGCTCACTGAATGGGTTTTACTTTAAAAATATACAAGGCTCCAACAATTTATCTACCAAATTTATTAGAAGAGCCTTTAGTTCCTTTAACACCTTAAGAGAGATTGCAAAGGAAAAAAGCTGCCCACATTTTCTCAGGAGGTACTTTTACTGGTAAACTTTAGAAAATAACAGAATTTGGCAAAAGTTTAAAGGGTAACATTCAACTGAAGTAAAGCTTTCCACGAAGCGTTGACTTAGCACATGCTAACCCATACATCTTAGCAAAGTTCCCATCCTAAGCTACCCAAAATATCAAGAAAGGAGATTAGGAGAAGAAGAAAAGAAAGAGAGAAAAAGAGAATTATAGCTACCACCCCTAGATCCAGCAAAGATCCAGCTACAGAAGTCCAGAACGGCATGGAGAGCACATGTTGCTGTTTTATTTGTTTTGGCAACCAGTCCAGGGCTGGGTCAGAGGCTCTGGGGTGTGATGTGGGGCACTGCTCCTGGTGTGCAGTGACAGACAGCTGCTCTGGGACTGCCTGGGGAGGCTCCAAGGGGCTGGAATGTAGGACAGGGCATCACAGGCACCTTTGTGAAATTCAACCTGTCACTTCTCTCTCCCCCCCTCACTGCCTTGAGTTGGTCTGAGCTGATAACTAATATAATAATCCAGTGTCTCACAGGTGTTTTTCTGGGAAGCCATAAAGGATAGCTATGATTAGTTTTATCACAACCTTAGGAAACTTCCAGAAAGTATTAATTAAAAAGGTAAGACATCTGTGTGCCCAAAAAATACTGATATTTTGTCAGTTTTATTTGCAGGTATGGTAATTTTATTTAAAAACAGAAAGAAGAAAAAAACAAAACCCGCACAACCTTGCAGTCCCATTTGTTATTCTTCAAACTGCTGATACTGTGTTTGACTTATCTTTTCTTTCTTTATGTGTAATGTGCAAGAATTTTAATTGAATGTTTGGGATCCTGTAGTTCTCCTGTATTGTACTGCAGAAATTGTCTGTGTCAGCAAAATGCATCAATATCTAGGTCAGTTCATTGCTGTATTCTCCTTAGAGAATATTGTATACTGATGACTATTTGTCTTCCTACAGGAACACTTTTATTTTTTATAGGATAGTTTCTAATTGCTTACAGCTGGATTTTTGTCTTTTAAAGAAAAAATTATGAAGTCAATATTTTTCATAGATTTTTGGGAAAAAAACATTCCAGAAAAGATTTTTGTTAAAGTTGTAGTAAATATTTAGCCTGTGTGATGATACTGCTTTCCTGAATTAAATGAGATGGTGTTAAAGATTCTGTGAAATCACATTTAAATGTTAAATAAGAGATCATTATGACCCTTGGTACTGGAAACTTTGATTAAGCAAAGACTTTGGATACAAATTTCATAAATTATTTTCTGACTTTAAAAATGC